GGTAGCATTGCTGGCAATAATGATGTCAAGATTTGGATCATAATGAGTCAGGAACAGATCTGATGTAAGGACCTCCTTTATTTTCTCAAATGCTTCCTGGCATTCATTTGTTTGTCCAATCCCACTCTTTATCTTTTCTCAATAATTCATTCAAGTGGAGCTCACAAACTGTGCATTCTTGAGAGAAAAACGCTGTAATAATTGGTAAGATCTAAAAACTTTGAAGAGCCGACACAATTTCTGGTGCTGGCATATTCTTTATTGCCGTTGCCCTATCTGGGTAGGGACGTCTTCCATCTTTGTTAATTATTTGCCCCAAGTAATTACTCCTCTCTCAGAAAAACTTATACTTTCCGTTTTTTAATTTGAATCCGTAATCCTGGATTCTCATAAACACCTACCAAATGTGTGCTTTGTGATCCTCGATGCTCTCGTTTTTCATTAGGACGTCATCGAGATAGGCGACAGCAAAAGCCAGACCATTTAACATCGTGTCCATAACCTGTTGAAAAATCGAAAGGGGCGACTTTAACCCCGAATGGAAGTCTTAAAAATTTGTATAAACCCTTGTGGGTGTTTATACAAAGAAGCTTCGAGCATTCCTCGTTCACAGGTATTTGTAAATATGCGACGCTTAAGTCAATCTTAGAAAAATATTTTCCTCCATTGAGCTTAGCGAATAATTCTGGACTTGGAAGCGGATAATGGTGATTCTTTAAGGCGCTATTCAGACCCGCAGAGAAGTCAGCACATACACGAATTTCTTTGCTCTTTTTTTAATATAAACTGTGGGAGATGCCCATTTACTATATTCAACATTTGCCAGAACTCCCATTTCCTCAAGTCGTTTTTTCTTAAAAATTGGGCTTACCTCTGGCTTTAACTCAAACTTAACAGACATTTTTGTGTGTTTTCCTAGTCCCCCACTAAAAACGTCGGGAAAAGTTCACCTTTCAACTTCTGGTTCATCAGTCAAATTTTCGACTTTTTGACATAATGCGTTAATAGACATATTCCAAAGTTGCAACTGTTCTAACCAGTCAGTCCCGAACAATTTACTCGTATTCTTCATAATATACACATTTAGTTTTAACATTTTACCTTTGAATGACACGCTCGTTATAAGTTCGCCCATAAACTTAATAATGTTGCCATTTACTCCTTTAGCTATTCGGTTACTTCTTAACAAAGTCGGCTTACCCAGTTTTTCCCATGTTTGATAATTAATTATGGATAAGTCTGAACCCGAATCAAGATGTAGTCTTGTATTTTTGTTAAATATTTGCACTTCAATATATTTCCTGATGTTACGACTTTCGGGTTCATCAGACTTGGTAATTTTTACAAAACATTTCTTTGTCTTGTTCTTAATCCTGCAGTGGGAACTTTTGCGTCCCAATTTATCGCAATTAAAACATCTTTTTATCTTTAAAAGGACAATCTATATACCAATGTAAGTCACCACACCCGAAACATGGTCTTGACGGCAAAGTAACTTCTTTAATGTGAGCCAATCTGTTCAATGTTTTCCGAATCACATCAGACACTCACGAAACGTTGGCAATCTTCGGCAATTTGCTGTAAAGTAACCTCGGGCTCTTTTTCAAGATTATTGAGTACCCTACGACGTATTTCGGCGTCTTTCGCTGAAATCAAACCCTGGACGAAAATCAAGCATTTAAAATTATTGGCGCTTAACTCTTCCAATTCATCACAGTGTTTATTGACTATACTCGCGAAAGTAGTATTATCTTCGTCTTCTTTGCCGGTGAGATTCGTGCATTTCCCACGCTTGTGGAACAGTGAAGTTTTTGGACTGAAGAGTTCTGTTAATGATTGAACCGCCTCTTTAAATTTCAAGTCGTTGGTTTTCTTAGGCCAAATATAGTTAACAAACTTAGTATACTCTTCCGGTTATGGAGGACCTCGATACCGAACCGATCATAGCAAGACCATTGACAGTGACGGGATCCCCCCCCCCCAAGACCTGATTGGGCATTACAATACTGTCCTACTGCTCCCATTGCACGAGGTTAACTACCAGTGTTGGAAAGAAGGGGACGTAACTGAGGACATGAAAGATGCCAAGACCGTCATCCTTACAAGAACCAGGGTGAACTACAGAAGCATCTTGCTACTCAGCGTTGGTCCTCCCACAGAAACTCGCCGAACGTGTTTATCCAGAAACGCAGTTCATTTTCCTAGCTGAAAGATCAGCAGTAGACATGGTCTTCTTCCTCCGCCAGGGCCAGGAGAAGTGCAGAGAATGGCAGATGGCCCTGTACGTTGCTTTTATTGATCTCACCAATGATCGATCTCATCAGCAGAGAAGGCCTCTTCAGAATCCTGTCCACCCAAGCTGTAGAGCTTGATTGAGTCCTTCCACAGCTTCAACATATGGAGTCAAACAGGGCTGTGTCCTCGCTCCAGCTTCCCGGGATTTTCTTGTCCCCTGCTTCTGAAGCATGCATTCGGCACATCAAGAGAAGGGATTTACCTGCGTACGAGATCAGATGTCGGGTTGTTGAATCTCGCCTGCCTCAGAGCCAGGACCAAAGTACGTGAAGCCCTTCTCAGAGACGTGCTTTTTTGCCAACGATGCGGTCATAGTGACTCACACCCAGTCTTTTCTCCAAGGTCTGCATAGACTTGGCTGACCATCAGTCTGAGAAAGTCAAACGCACTGGGGACAAATTACTTGCGTGCCTCACAAAAACGTGTGTGGACAAATCTCAAGCTGTCGATGAAGACCAAGATGGCAGTGTACAACATCTGCGTTATCATCTCCACTGCTATTTGGCAGCGAGGCTTGAACCACGTAAGCCAGGCAAGAAAGGCATCTGAACCCTTTTCACACGAATATCACCCGCCGCATCCTGGGAATAGCGTGGCAAGATAAGATGCCCAACAAAGAGATCCTGTTTCGAGCAGGTTTGCCAACATGTTCAAACTGCTCAGATAGCGCAGACTCCGTTGGTTGGGCCACGTTCATCTCATGCCAAACGGCCGCATCCCCAAAGACGTCCTGTATGGAGAACTGGCCGCTGGAAGGTGACCTGTCAGGCGGTTACAGTTGCGGTACCGTAATGCCGTGAGATGCGACATGAAAGCTGTGGACATCACCACAGAGTCCTGGGAGAGTCTGTCAACCATACGATCCGAATGGAGAGGAACCCTGACCAAACACCTCAAGTCAGGGGATGAGAAGCTGACACAAATGCCACGGAAAGGCGGGCCCTCTTAAAGCAAAGTGACAGCTCCAACAGACCAGAGACAGAACACTCATGCGACCTCTGCAACGGAGATTGTCTCCCTGCATCGGCCTCTACAGTTACAGACGTCGACCCTCCAGCTAAGCAGATAACAAGGACGCTACCAATTGTCAACCCTGATCGACGGAGGCCTACATATTTCATGTTCATTTCTCTATATTAATCATGTGGACTCCTTTGTTGTAATATAGAGTAACCTGATCCTCACACTAGGCGCTGCATCTGCATTTAAAATGTTTATATTCGGACTATTGTCCTCATCTTTGTTCTTGTTAGCACAACGTTTCGGCCGTTGGGCCCTCCGGCGTTTGTATATTGATCTGGGTAACCTACAGAAAGATGAACCCTTTATTTAATCTAAGGTTGTAGACCGTTTCTACTTCCACTGCCCATAATATCGTCGTTCTGATTTCAATACTACTCAGCCGTTTCTATTGAGTCCAAGTACAGACTGACCAACCCAGGAATTGAACTCACAATCACCATCTCACTAAATTCCCAAACCAAAGCTTTTTATCTGCTAGGACGCGTTGCATCTGTGGTTTCGAAACAAATAGTTTTAACGTCAGAGATTTGCTATCCCCACATCCAAACGGTTTTAATTCACAATTGTCCTTCTAGATTTGTTGGACACCAAAAGCTTGAGAATTCAGTGTATACTGTTATTAACTCCGAGCTGTGGAGGAGAGATTAGTTCATACTTTTCCAATAATTTTTTGTGAGAAAGCGAAAACGAACGCAATGACCTCAATACGTCAATCCTACTCTCCGCGTCAGTAAGCGCTATGCCACGCACAGATCCCCAATTTCACAGGCTTCTGACGTTATTAATTCTAGATGATCACTGCCCAGGGAGCATTTCCGAAACTGAAACCAAATTTGTTTAGAACCGAATATAAATATGAACAGACATTTATAGTTTTGATTTGATTAAAACAAAACGTTACATAAATTGACTGATTAAAATTTAAAGAATTCTCCGATGTTCTCAGTGATTGAGTTAACTTCCATATTTAATACCATAATCTTTTTTCCTGCGTAACTAGGGAAATATGTGTTCCTGCTTTATCGTGTTAGTGCAACTCGCCTTTACGATTAATCAATGACGAGTGTTTGTTTTATTTGCAAATTTTTGTTCGAGTTCACGACAGTACTTCTTCTCTATTATCTGTTTCGTTTAGGTTTATTAATTCATGATAAAGGAAACTTTTCATATCCCACCAAAACGCGGCATATTCTTTTTCGCGTGTAGTCTTGGATTGGGAATGGATTCAATTTTCTCAACGGATGTTAAACCGTTGTTGTCTTTCGTTGAATATGATAAGAGAAAGCCATACTCTCAACACTGGTGATGATTGTAATCAGGAAAGGTTTAGTAGCAAGTCCACTTTTCAATGATGGGCAAATGACAACTCTTCGATGACGCTGAGAATAAATCAGATGATGAGGAAGCCATTGACGCATGGACACTTCTCTGAGTTTACGAAGGCGTTTCATGATCAAAGTGTGATGAGAATTGTTATGATAAATCACATGCAGTTTCCTGAGGATTTTGAAAAAACAGATCCGTAAAAACAAACTGAGAGATAGATAAATATACAAAAGAGTGCATAAGAAATTGACTAAGTGGATATGAAAAAGATTACGATAGATACATAGATATGAATAGATTGATATTGGTAGAGTGATAGACAGACATATTACTATAGATACAGCTGAAGAGATTACGGCAGATATGGAGAAATGTAGATAGATAGATAGATAGATAGATAGATAGATGAACAGAGTGAAATAGGTGCATACACATATAAATTGACAAACAGAGTGAAATAGATAGATAGATAGGAACAGACTGAACAAGAAAGAAACAAACATAGATAGATAGATAGATAGATAGATAGATAGATAGATAGATAATGAACAGAAACTAGATAGATATGAATAGATTACTATAGTTACAGGAGAACAGATTACGAACAGGTAGATATGAACAAATGCATATGACTCCATTCTCATCGATAGACCGAATACATCTTGCCGTTTATGTTGCTTCCTTTTTTTAATGCAAACAGCATAATTATGATATTATATGCATATAGTTTAGACATATATGTAGCTAAACTGATTTTAAAAGGGTAAAATAGTTACCCACTCTGATATGAAGTATAGATTGATTAACATTTCAATCCTTTGTTGGTTATTTAAATCCGAAAATTATATGGCTGGTAAGAATAATTTGGGCAGAGGAAATGAATTCATATTTTTCCCAATGTAAAAGTGTACGTAAGTAAATGTAATGAAAGTGAATAGAATTTTGAACCCGGCTCAGAGATTTCTCATTCTGAGCCACTATCCACTATACCACCCACGCATCCACTGCAAAAAACAATGACCAATTAGTTGCAATATTAATTGATTGGTTATTTTATTTTATTTATTTATTTTTTTTTTGTTACTGGGTGTTAAACCTGAGCATGTTATTTTGTGATGTCAACGGACACTCGTTGTCACTTTTGTAATGCCAACGAATATTCGTTGTCACTTTGTAATGTCAACGAATATTTTTTGACACTTATGTAATGCCAATGAATACTCGTTGTCACATATGTAATGCCAACAAATACTCTTTTGACACTTTTGTAATGCCAACGAATACTTTGGCCACTCTTGTAATGCCAACGAACATTCGTTATCACTTTTATGCTGCCAACGAATATTCTTTGCCACTTTTGTAATGCCAACAAATACACTTTGCCACTCTTGTAATGCCAACGACTACTTGTTGTCACTTTCGTAAAGCCAACGTATACTCTTTGCCGCTTTTGTAATGCCAATGAATACTCATTGTCACGTTTGTAATGCCAACAAATATTCTTTGACACTTTTGTAATGACAAGGAATACTCGTTGTCACATTTGTAATGAAAACGAATACTCGTTGTGAAGTTGTAATGCCAACGAATACTCGTTGTCACTTTTGTAATGACAACGAATATTCTTTGCCACTTTTGTAATGCCAACGAATAATCTTTGCCACTTTTGTAATGACAAAGAATACTCATTGCCACTTACGTAATGCCAACGTATACTTTTGCCACTTTTGTAATGCCAATGAATACTCGTTGTCATTTTTGTTATGCCAACGAATACTCTTTGACTTTGTAATGCCAACGAATACTCTTGGCCACTCTTGTAATGCCAACGAACATTCGTTATCATTTTTGTAATGCCAACGAATACATTTTGCCACTCTTGTAAAGCCAACGAATACTCGTTGTAGCTTTTGAAATGCCAATGAATATTCGTTGTCAATTTTGTAATGCCAACGAATACTCTTTGTCACTTTTGTAATGCCAACGAATACTTTTTGCCACTCTTGTAATGCCAACGAATACTCGTTGTCACATTTTTAATGACAATGAATAATCGTTGTGACTTTTGTAATGACAAAGAATACTCGTTGTCACTTTTGAAATAACAACGAATATTCTTTGCCACTTTTGTAATGACAACGAATACTCGTTGTGACTTATGTAATGCCAACGAATACTCTTTGCCACTCTTGTCATGCCAACGAATACTCGTTGTCAGTTTTGTAATACCAACGAATATTCTTGCCCCTCTTGTAATGCCAACGAATACTCGTTGTCACTTTTGTAATGTCAACGAATACTCTTTGCCACTTTGGTAATGCCAACGAATACTCGGTGTCACTTTTGTAATCCCAACTAATACTCTTTGCCATGTTTTAATCCCAATGAATACTCGTTGTCACTTTTGTAATGCCAACAAATACTCTTTGACACTTTTCTAATGCCGACGAATACTCTTGGCCACTCTTGTAATGCGAACGAACATTCGTTATCACTTTTGTAATGCAAACGAATATTTTTGCCACTCTTGTAATGCCAACGAATACTGTTGTCAATTTGTACTGCCAACGAATACTGTTGTCACTTTTGTAATGACAACGAATACTTTGTCACTTTTGTAATGACAACGAATACTCCAGTTTTGTAATGCCAACGAAAACACTTTGCCAATAATGCCAATCACGTTGTCGCTTTTTAATGCCAACGAATACTTTTGACACTTTTCTAATGCCAACGAATACTCGTTGTCCACTTTTTGTAATGCCAGCGAATACACGTTGTCACTCATCTAATGCCAACGAATAATCGTTGTAAAGCCAAAGAATACACGTTGACACTTTTGAAATGCCAACGAATGCATTCTTTCACACTTTGTAATGCCAACGAATAATCTTTGCCACTTTTGTAATGCCAACAAAATGCGTTATCACTTTTGTAAAAACGAATACTCTTTGCCAATGCCAGCGAATACTTTATCACTTTTGTAATGCCAACGAATACTTTTTTGTAATGCCAACGAATTTTGTCCCTTTTGTAATGCCAACGAATACTCGTTGTCACTTTTGTAATGCCAACGAATACACGTTGTAATGCACATTTGTAATGCCAACGAATAATCGTTGCCACTTTTTTTAATGCCAACGAATACACGGTAATGCCAACGAATACTTTTGCCACTTTGTAATGCAAACGAATTCACAATGCACAAATGCCAACGAATAATCGTTGCCACTTTTGTAATACCAACGACACTCGTTGTCACTTTTGTAATGCCAACGAATAACTACTTGTCAACTTTTGTAATGCCAACGAATACTCGTTGTTTGCCACTTTGTAATTTGTAATGCCAACGAATACATTTGACAACACTTTGTAATGCCAACAATACTCTTTGCCATTTTGTAATGCCAACGAATACTCGTTACGAATACAAGTTGTCATTTTGTAATGCCAACGTAATGCCATAGTTGCCAACTTTTGTAATTCCAATGAATACCACGAATACTCGTTGTCACTTTTGTAATGCCACTTTGTAATGCCAACGAATACATGTTTGTCACTTTTGTAATGCCAACGAATACATTTTTGTTTGCCAATACACTTTGAACTTTTTGCCACTTTTGTAATAACCAACGAATACACGCTGACAACGAATTTGTAATGCCAACTACCACATTGTTGCAACGAACACATCATATACTCTTTTGCCACTTTTGTAATGCCAACGAATACTCGTTGCCATTTTGTAATGCCAATGAATACTCGTTGACACTTTTGTAATGCCAACGAATACACTTTGCCACTTTTTGTAATGCCAACGAATACTCTTACTCTTGTGCCACTTTTTTTAATGCCAATGAATACTCGTTGACACTTTTGTAATGCCAACGAATATACTCTTTGCGACTCTTGTAATGCCAACGAATACTTTTGCGTTGTAATGACAACGAATACTTTTTGTTGTCACTTTTGTAATGCCAACGAATACTCGCCAACGAATACTCGTTGTCACTTTTGTAATGCCAACGAATACTCTTTTGCAATTTTGTAATAACGAATACCAATTGTCACTTTTGTAATGCCAACGAATACTTTTTCACTTTTGGTAATGCAAACGATTACTTTTGTAATGCCAAACGAATACTCGTTGTCACTTTTGTAATGCCAACGAATACTCTTTTTGTAATGCCAACTTTTTTCGCTTTTGTAATGCCAATGAAACGTAATGCAATTTTGTAATGAATGGTCTATTAAACTCTTTTGAATGCCACTCATTGTCACTTTTCTAGCAATGCCAACAATTTTGTCACTTTGTAATGCCAACGAATACTCTTTGTTACTTTTTGTAATGCCAACGAATACGAATGAATACTGTCACTTTTTTCACACACGTTTGTAATGCCAACGAATACTCTTTGCCATATTTGTCACTTGTAAGGCCAATGTCACTTTCGTAATGCCAACCAATACTCGTTGTCACTTTTGTAATGCCAACGAATACTTTTTTGTGACTTTTGTAATGCAACGAATACGTTGCCACGTTTGTAATGCCAACGAATACTCTTGTTGCCAACGAACATTCGTTGTCACTTTTATAATGCCATTGTAATGCCAACGAATACTCATTGTTGTCCACTTTTGTAATGCCAACGAATACTTTTTTGCACACGTTTGTAATGCCAACGAATACTCTTTGTCACTTTTGTAATGCAAAACGAATACTTTTTGTCTTTTAATGCCAACCAAACCTAATGCCAACAAATACACTTTTTAGTGCCGTTGTCACTTTGTAATGCCAACGAATACTCGTTTGCCACTTTTGTAATGCCAACAACATTACTCGTTGTCACTTTTTGTAATGCCAACGAATACTTCGTTATCACTTTTGTAATGCCAACGAATACTGATGTTGTAGCACTTTGTAATGCCAACGAAATACTCGTTGCCACATTTGTAATAACGAATATTCGTTGTCACTTTTGTAATGCCAACGAATACAAGTTGTCACTTTTGAAAAGCCAACGATATTCTTTGCCAAATGTACAACAGCCGTCATGTAACGAATACTCGTTGTCTTTTGTAATGCCAACGAATACTCTTTGTTGTCACTTTTTGCCACTAATGCCAATGAATACTCGTTGCCAATTTGATTGTAATGCCAACGAATATTCTTTGCCACTTTTGTAATGCCAACGAATACTCGTTGTCCACATTTTGTAATGCCAACGAATACTCGTTTTTATCAATGCGACTTTTGTAATGCCAACGAATACTTTGCCACCTTGTAATGCCAACGAATATTCGTTGTCCACTTTGAATACATGCCAAATGCCAACGAATACTCTTTTGCCACTTTTGTAATGCCAACGAATACTTTTTGTAATTCCAACGAATGCCAACGTTGTAATGCCACGTTTGTAATTCGCCAACGAATACTCTTTTGTATACTACTTTTTGTAATGCAACGAATACCAACAATTTGCCACTTTTGTAATGCCAACCAATATTTGTACATTTGTAATACCACGAATACTCGTTGTACTCGTTTGTAATGCCAACGAATACTCGTTGCCGCACTTTGGTAATGCCAACGAATACTCGTTGACACATTTGTAATGTCAATGAATATTCGTTGTCACTTTTGTAATGCCAACGAATACTTTTGCCACTTTTGTAATGCCAACGAATACTTTGTTTTTTTGTTGCCAGAATACTCACTTTTGTAATGCGAATATTCGTTGTCACTTTTGTAATGCCAACGAATACTCTTTGCCACTTTTGTAATGCTTTTTTTTGTAATGCCAATGAATACTCTTTGGGTAGTCGTTGCCACTTTTTTGTAATTCCAACGAATACTCGTTGTCACTTTTAATTTTGTAATTCCAACGAATACTGTTGTCACTTTTGTAATGCCAACGAATACTCGTTGTCCCTTTTGTAATGCCAACGAATACTCGTTTGTCCTTTTGTAATCCCTTTGCCACTTTTGTAATGCCAATGAATACTCTTTGCGACGTTGTAATGCCAACGAATACTCGTTTGCATTTTTTGTAATGCCAACGAATACTCTTTGTCACTTTTGTAATGCCATTACAACGAATACTCTTTTTTTTGTAATGAATGAATACTCGTTTGTAAATGCCAATGAATGTACAATTCCAACGAATACTTTGTAATGACGTTTGTAATGCCAATGAATACTTATGTTGTCAATTTTAATGCCAACGAATACTTGTCACTTTTGTAATGCCAACGACTTGTGTAATGCCAACGAATACTCTTTTTCGTTGCCACTTTGTAATGCCAACGAATACACGTCGTTGCCACACGTTTGTAATGCCAACGAATACTTTTGCGACACTTTGTCACTTTTAATGCCAACGAATACTCGTTGCCACTTTTGTAATGCCAATGAATACTCGTTGTCACTTTTGTAATGCCAACGAATACTCGTTGTCACTTTTGCCGCATTGTAATGCAACGAATACACGTTATCACATTTGTAATGCCAACGAATACTCGTTGTCACTTTTGTAATGCCAACGAATACCAACGAATTTTTGCCACTTTTGTAATGCCAATGAATACTCGTTGACACTTTTGTACTCGTTACTTTTGTAATGCCAACGAATACTCGTTGTCACTTTGTAATGCCAACGAATTGACACTTTTTGTAATTCAACTTACTCGTTGTGTCCATTTGTAATGCCAATAATACTCGTTGTCACTTTTGTAATGCCAATGCCAATTCTCTTTGAATTCTCTTTGCCAATTTGTAATGCCAACGAATACTCTTTGCCACTTTTGTAATGCCAACGAATACTCTTTGCGCCGTTTGTAATGCCAACGAATACTCGTTGTCACTTTTGTAATACTGGTTGTACAACGAATACTCTTCGTTGCCACTTTTGTAATGCCAACGAATACTCGTTGTCACTTTTGTAATGCCAACGAATACACGTTGTCACTTTTGTAATGCGAATACGAATAATGAATACCGTTGTCACTTTTGTAATGACAACGAATACTCTTTGCCACTCTTGTAATACAACGAATACTCGTTGTCACTTTTGTAATGACAACGAATGAATATCGTTGTCACTTTTGGTAATGCCAACGAATACTCGTTGTCACTTTTTTATTTTATCGTTGCTCGTAATGCCAAATGAATACTCTTTGTCGACTTTGTAATGCCAATGAATACACGTTGTCACTTTTAATGCCAATGAATACTCGTTGTCACTTTTGTAATGCCAACGAATACTCTTATGACACTTTTGTAATGCCAACGAATACTCAATGAATACTTTTGTCACTTTTTAATGCCAATGAATACTATTTGCCACACTTGTAATGCCAACGAATACTCGTTGTCTCTTTTGTAATGCCAACGAATACTCTTTGCCACTCTTGTAATGCCAACGAATACTAGTTGTCACTTTTGTAATGACAACGAATACTCATTGTCACTTTTGTAATGCCAACGAATACTCGTTGTCACTTTTGTAATGACGACGAATACTCATTGTCACTTTTGTAATGCCAACGAATACTCGTTGTCACTTTTGTAATGACAACGAATACTCATTGTCACTTTTGTAATGCCAACGAATACTCGTTGTCACTTTTGTAATGCCAACGAATACTCTTTGCCATATTGTAATGCCAACAAATACTCTTTCCGGCTCTTGTAATGCCAATGAATACACCTTGTCACTTTTTAATGCCAATGAATACTATTTGCCACACTTGTAATTCCAACGAATACTCGTTGTCACTTTTGTAATGACAACGAATTTGTCACTTTGTCGTAATGCCTACCTCGTTGTAGTTTTGTAACTTTGTAATGACAACGGATTGTTGGAATACTCGTTTTTTGTAATCAAACGATTACTCGTTGTCACTTTTGTAATGCCAACTAAATCTCTTTGCCACTTTTGTAATGCCAAAGTATACTCGTTGTCACTTTTGTAATGCCAACGAATACTCTTTGACACTCTTGTAATGCCAACGAATACTCTTTGCGACTCTTGTAATGCCAATGAATACTCGTTGTCACTTTTGTAATGCCAATGAATACTCGTTGTCAATTGCCAATACTCTTTGACACTTTTGTAATGAATACCTCTGTCGGCTCTTGTAATGCCAATGAATGAACCACTCGTTGTCCTTTTGTAATGCCATCACATTTGTAATGCCAACGAATTTTCTTTTGTAATGCCAACGAATACTCGTTGTCACTTTTGTAATGCCAACGAATACTCGTTTTTGCCATGCCTTTTGTAATGCCAACGAATACTCGAATTGTCACTTTTGTAATGCCAACGAATACTCGTTGTCACTTTTGTAATGACAACGAATACTCTTGTCCACTTTTGTAATGCCAACGAACACCAACGAATACTTTTGCCACTTGACGTTTGTAATGCCAACGAATACCTTTTGTAATGCCAACGAATACTCGTTGTCACTTTACAATTTTGTAATTCCAACGAACATTCGTTGTCACTTTTGTAATGCCAACGAATACTTTTTTGGCTCTTTGTAATGCCAACAGTCATGCCAATGAATACTATTATTCTTTTGTTATGCCAACGAATACTCGTTGTTTTTGTAATGCCAACAAATACTCGTTGTCCGGCTTTGTAATGCCAACGAATATCTAGTTGTCACTTTTTTAATGAATAATACTCGTTGTCCGTTTTGTAATGACAACGAATACTTTTGCCACTTTATAAGGCCGACGAATACACTTTGCGACGTTTTGTAATGCCAATGAATACTTTTGTAATGCCACTTTTGTAATGCCAACGAATATTCGTTTGTCACTTTTGTAATGCCAACGTATACTCTTTGCCACTTTGTAATGCCAACGAATACTCGTTTTGACTCTTGTAATGCCAACGAATACTCGTTGCCAACGAATACTCTTTGCTACACTTGTAATGCCAATTGTTGTCACTTTTGTACGAATACTCGTTGTCACTTTTGTAATTTCTAATGCCAACGAATACCTCTTTGCCACTTTTGTAATGCCAATGAAAACTCTTTGTCACTTTTGTAATGCCAATGAATACTCTTTTGCCACTTTTGTAATGCCAACGAATACTCGTTGTCACTTTTGTAATGCCAACGAATACTCTTTGTCCACTTGTAATGCCAACGAATACTCGTTCACACTTTTAATGCCAACGAATACTCTTTGCCACTTTTGTAATGCCAACGAATACAACTTTTGTAATGCCAACGAATACTCGTTGTACTTTTGTAATGCCAACGAATACTCGTTGTCGACTTTTGCCAACAATATCACTTTTGCCAACGCCAACGAATACTCTTTTTGCCAACGAATACTTTGTAAATGCCAACGAATACTCGTTGTCAAATGACAACGAATACTCGTTGTCACTTTTGTAATGCCAACGAATACTCTTTTGCCACATTTGTAATGCCAATGAATATTCTTTGTCAAATGCCAACGAATACTCGTTGTCACTTTTGTAATGCCAACGAATACTCTTTTGCTACACTTGTAATGCCAACGAATACTCATTGTCACTTTTTGCCCTTTTGTAATGCCAACGAATACTCTTTCCACTTTGCCGAATACTCATCTTTTGTAATGTCAACGAATACTCTATACATTGTCACTTTTAATGCAACGAATACTCTTTGACACTTTTGTAATGCCAACGAATACTCTTTGCCACTTTGTAATGCTTTTGAATACTAATTTTGTAATGAATACTCTTTGTCACTTTTTGTAATGCCAAAATGACAACGAATACTAATTTGCCACATTTGTAATGTAATGCCAACGAATTATTCGTTGTCACTTTTTAATATAATTTGCCAACGAATACTCTTTTGACACGTTTCACTTTTTAATGCCAACGAATATCTTTTGACACTTTTCTAATAATACTCTTTGCCCAACGAATACTCATGGCCACTCTTGTAATTCCAAACGAAGATTCGTTATCGATTTTTTAATGCCAACGAATACTCGTTGTCACTTTTTTAATGCCAACGAATACTCGTTGTCACTTTTGTAATGCCAACGAATACTTTGCCACTTTTGTAATGCGAATGAATACTCGTTGTCATTTTTTGTCATGCAAACGAATACTCTTTGACACGTTTGTAATGCCAACGAATATTCTTTGCCACTTTTATAAGGCCGACGAATACACTTTGCGACGTTTGTAATGCCAACGAATACTCTTTGCCCCTTTTGTAATGCCAACGAACATTCGTTGTCACTTTTGTAATGCCAACGAATACTCTTTGCCACTCTTGTAATGCCAACGAATACTCATTATCAATTTTATAGTGCCAACGAATACTTTTTGCCACTCATTTAATGCCAACGAATACTGTTGTCACTTTTGTAATGCCAACGAATACTCTTTGCCACATTGTAATGCCAACGAATACTCGTTGTCACTTTTGTAATGCCAATGAATACTCGTTGTCACTTTTTTAATGACAACGAATACTCGTTGTCACTTTTGTAATGACAACGAATACTCGTTGTCACTTTTGTAAGGACAACGAATACTCTTTGCCACTTTTGTAATGACAACGAATATTCCTTGCCCTTTTTGTAATGCTCGTTGTACTAGAGACATTGTAATCGTAGGTACATCTATAGTAACGCCGTTGTACAATGCTAGTGTTGAATGCCTTCGAGTAACGCTCGCGCTAATAATACTTGCTCGATAATACTCGCTCGAAAAGTAACAAACGGGTAGTAATCTGTATAGAGAAATACTATAGTGAATAGAGTAGAGTATAGCGGTCCATATATTAATAGAGGATAGAGCAGAAATAGCGATCCGAATAGTAACAGAGTCTAGACTAGAAATAGAGATCCATTTGACACACGCCACCTCCCTGCGTTTCCTCTATGATCACGTGGTCTACTTAATCCAATAACGGAATCGCCTGTGTTTGCTCACTGCTGATCTATGTTCAAACTCAAGTGCTGGCAGCGACACTTTATTCCTTTATAACACATTTAATGCAGCAAATATATTTTGTGAGTTGTAAGAATAATTCTATGAGTAAATTCTGCATTCATAAGAATTTTAATTTTATTTTAGAGAATCATAATGAATTTCGTAGATACATGTCCTACTATTTAATCTATATGTGAGGGGAAGAGATGAATCCATACATTTCCCGAGTATTTGCGCGGAAGTTGATATTAAAAAAATCTACAAAGAAAAAAAACGTTAGAACGCTTATCTCTATTTTACTTTTTTTATTGAAAAAATAGCCGCAAAGTGATCATGTCAAAATTGTTAAAGAATGCAGATATGCAGGCTAATGGGAAGATTAATCCAAATCTCTATGTCAAATATTATAGGCCAATGTTTGTGTTTTGGGGGACTTTTCCGGACGTAGGCCCTACATTTAGGAAACTCTCCATTCTAGAGTGTTGTTTGGGGTTTGTTTTTTTTTAAGCACTTCATCTCAAGCAAGGTGGAAGTGCCACTAGCATACAAGGGGTTACAGAGGGTGGGAGTAAGAATAAAGAGACGTGATGGAGGAAAGAATGAAGAGAAGGACGGGGAATTAGGTCAAGGCATCTGAAAATGTCGATTGACATTGCATTTGAATAAGTGAAGATTATAGCTATCAGGGAGTAAGAGGAATGGAGTTCCACAGACGGAGAGTGCGAGACATGAAGCTATTGGAGTAGAAGAGACGTCTACATTTAACAGTTTCGATTGTGAAAGGGCGGGACTCACATACCAAGCTAGTAGCACGCTTAAATTCATGCAGTTTAGGAACTAGCGAAAGTAGCTCATCTGGGCAATTATCGTATATCTATCTGTCATACGGTTTTTCCCACGCGCGCACATCCCAGACGCATCCGGGGTCCATCACCTGTAGCTGTGTCAGGGTAGTCACTAATATATTGATGCTATTGGGCATCACCACGGCAAGGCTAGGTAGTCATCTCTCAGGACAACCTTGGCTTATGTTTACAAGACTGACTATAAAGTTTATTTTTACATCATCTAGATGGAGTTACATGCTTCAACGACACAGTCAGTCCCTTGTACCGCTCAGGAATGTACCTGAATCCTGTTACTAAGCTCTTATTTTAGAAGATTCGGATCAGACGAGGAAATAGCATTGCTACATGTTATATAGAAATAAAATGTCGATACCGACACTTGAGCTTGAACATAGATCGCCAGTGAGAAAACACACGCGATCCCATTATTAAGTAGAATTAAGTAGACCATGTGACCATAGAGGAAACGCATAAGAAGAAAGTCCCTTGACGTCTAATTGATCGCCATTCTAATCAATCCTCTATGACTATTCGGATCGTTATGTTTAGTCTATCCTCTATTGCTATAAGGACTGCTATTCTCTACTCTATTCACTATACTATTTCTCTATTCACTATACGGATAACTATTCGAGCGAGTATTATCGAGTAAGTGCTATTAGTGCGTGTGATATTCGAAGGCGTCTGACACCAGTATTGTTCAACGGCGTTACTATATTTGTATCTGCGATTACAAAGTCTCTACTACAAGGAGCATTACAAAAGGTGACAACGAATATTCGTTGACATTATAAAAGTGTCAAACGTGTGTTCGTTGACATCACAAAACTACCATATCTGGCTTCGGAGCCTCCCAATCTCCACTTCCCAACCTCGACAGAGTTCAAAATCGTTTACGCTGCCTTGTGGGTGATGAACTATTTTCAACCCTGCCGCTCCTTTCCCACGGACGAAAAATCGCAAGCGCTTCTCTATAGCTATTTCAATGGAAAAAGTTCAGACGAGCTACATTCTTTGGTTTCATCAGTTCAGGCGTTTACAATTAGAACCCACAAAGCTTCGAACTCACGACTGAATGAGCCTCATACCACTTGTATTCCATTGGTAAGAAGGAAAATTTTTGAAGACAGTTTCTTTCTCAGAACTTTGTGGAACAGATTGCCGCAAAGATTCTTCCTCAATCATTACAATCTTAATCTTTTCTAATTTAGTTAAAAAGGTTATCTATTCTACATATCCTGATAATCTACACTTCCTCCTCTTGAGTTCAAACAACAGAATTGTACTGGGTGAACATTTACTAAAATTTAAAACACATAAAGCCGCAGTATAGAAACATAATCGCCCACGCCTTAAAAGATCATAACACATCGAGATAAACTGTGTGTCTGTGTGTGCGCGCGCGTGTTCAACAGGGATTCGTTGCAACCGCATATTTCTGCTTGGGCAAATTAGTGAAAAAAAGA